ATTTGTAGTCCTAAGACGGTACAATATCGCAAAAACCGCATTAAAATCATAGTACATTTACATTTTCGGCAAACGCCAAAAAACTGTTTATGACAAGTCCGATAGTGCGGAGCTCGTGGTGTCTATAGATTATACAGATAAGAGAAAGAGTTAAAACAAACCAAAAACAAAGACGGCCAGCTAAGTTTTTCTTTTTTGGAGACGAAAGTAACCGAGTTTTTCTGAGGTAATTGCAGCAGTATACGGAATTGTATTCGTAGTTTACGCATTTTCACGAGTTCTTCTGTTCTGTTCGATCCACTTGTCCTCCTCCAAACGGTAGGAGATCCGTTTGCCGCTGTGCTGGGTAGGGCTGGGTTTGTGCCTCATTCGGTGCTTGCCGAGAACTTGTTTTTAAATCAGATATTTAAAAGTCATCAGCGTGTTTTAGCGACATGATGTCTCGAAATCCTGGCTTCTTTGAGTAGAGCACCTGCTCCATGGCATATTCACGATTACGTTCACAAGATGGTTTCCCTTCGCCTACTCACCATTAAAATTTCCGCCAACAGTCTGCTGTTTTAGGACGATTTTTTGATAGATCGGCCACCAAAAGAGTTTTACCTCTAAAGGCATTCTTTAACCGCGAACACAAAAATTTCGACATAAGCTCAGTATCAAACATTTTGGATTTATTTCCTTTAAATTTTCATCCATTGAAGAACCTTTGAGATAACACTACTCAGTTTAAACTTTGTAAAATTGGTGGCCTAATTTGCAACGAATCTTATAGTTAATATTTTGTTGTAGTTTTTAGATAAGAAAGATATAGGAACTGAAAGAATCGGCGATAATCAGCATACCAATGTAATAACTTAGGATTTAGGTATCAGAAAAGTTGCGCGACAACTACAATGGATATTCATAAATAATTCTACTTTTTCTAACTTGAGCTTACCAAGAAAATAATAGCTGTAACAAAGCTTGTTTCGCCATGATCCTACCTGAAAAAAGAGATGACCTTCTCGATTAAATTCGTCAAATCCCGAGTTCTTCACTCCACCGTCGCTGCATTCTCCAACTGACCTTGTTTTCTTCATACAGGAGGAATAGCCACATAGCAATAGATGGACTCCGCTATCTGAAGCAATAAGACAGCCCTTACTCTCATCGAACGCTACTCGCCATCTTAAGTACACTGTATATACTTGGGCTTAATAGTGTCTGTTTTACCACCCGTTCTATATATTCATAAACGATGAAATGAAAAAAATAGACAAAAATTAAAGCAAGGCATGTATATATCCGATGATTAACCGCGAAATGGATCTTGTTCAGCACAGTTTACGGAATTTGAGTCCATTAGGAGCAAAGGTTGATTTAAAGATTGTCATAATCAGTGCTTCGTCTAATTTCTGGATTATTCTGTACATTCACGACCGGCTGATTTCACGAGCACTTTAGCGATGCCTTTTAGCTCGCGGTTGATATATGAAGGAAAACGAGTTTTGTTTCTTCTTTCTCTTTCTGCGCCAATAAGCCACTCTTGGCCGAGACAGAAACTGAGAACTGACAACGATACACTAAGAAATGGAGGCCCCATCTTGTGATGGAGACAAGAGATCTTCTTTAAGAAAATTTAATTTATTTAACTCAATCATACAGCTTTCGTTTTGTGTTCTCATAAAAGACTATAAAGCAGTTTAGAGTACGCCATGAAGTTTTTAAAAGAAATTGCTTAATGTGTATCAGACATATTGGTTTTTAAGGGTCTGAAAATGAATAGACTACTGTAATAGTCGAATCAGTATGAATGCTAAATTTAATATATTAAAAAAGAGAAACAAGGCCTGCAAGAACAATATTAGATTTAAGTTTCGCTGACAAGTGAATTGCTATCAGTTTCAGATGTGACGTTTAGAAAGCTTAGCATTCTTCGAGCATTAAGACTCGCTCAATGTTTTCAAACCTGGGCTGTGTTTTCTGTTGTGTGAAGCGGGTTCGATGCTATATTCAAAATTCAGGTGAGTCAACCAGCTTCGTGGAAAAGCTTAGTATGTTTGCTCTGGGATTTTGTATGCGAACAACTGAAGTCTGAAAAGTCCCAGAGATTATTTATGAATATCTATTGTGACTTTGGCGCAAAGATTTTTGCCGTAGGCTCAAAAGTCAAAATGTAGCCACTTTATTCAGCCAGTATACCAGCGTTAGGTGTAGGCGGAAGGGGGTTGCAATAACAATATTGTTTTGGCGGGAAAATCGGTTTATAGCGCGAGGTTTAGTCACGAATGCTAGAAGCATCGCGAAGAGAATTTCAATCATTTTACACTGAACCGCATCGCCTTCTTTCTTTGGAGATTAATTATATTTAAATGATAATCCACTCGGGCGCTAAGTATACAGAAAGTCTAATGCCATGAAAACAACAAACACAAAGACGACACGTTGCACGAAAAAAGAAATCGTGTTTTTGCCCAGACAATTTTCAGTGCAGGCAGACGACAAAAAAAACTGAAATTTCAAACATGGCCACCGCGAGTAACTGCTCTCTCGATATCATATACCAAGAGTTTTCTTATTTAAATATCAAATTGTTTTCTAGTCAACAAAAGACACTTCACCGTGTTTGTGATATTAAAAGTGCTGGTTTGAGGTCGGAACAATGGATCGGAACTACTCAAATAGCAGATTTAAGCGGTCATATGTAGTCGCGAAATGTCACATGGAGACGCTTATGAGAAGGCAAATAAACCAACATCACTTTAGGATCTTTGTACAGCGCGATTTGCACCAATTAACTTGCAACGATAACTAGCATATTTTGAGAGTCACTAACCTCCAAAGTAAAACTTCGGAGTGTATTTTGTTTTTTTTTAACAAAGTAAGTAATTACATTAAAAATGTCGTATTTTCATTGTGCAAAACGCTTGCGATATCTTTAGCATTAAAAGTTCTTTTTCATTACTGTTCCTTGAAGCACGCGGTTTTATTATGCTCTTTGTACGAACACATTCTAATCAGTAAATTTCGTTGTAATTAATAATTAATCAAAGCCTCAACCCCAAATAAGTAACATAAAATGAATATTTCTCTTGAGTCAGTGCTTCGGTCATAACACCTTAGGCTAAAAAAATATTGAAATACTGACAAGTTCTGAACTAATTGAAACTTCTTTTAATTAAAGGCAAATTGATTTGGCTTTCGTGCGCAGCGATTGGTATTTAAAATTTGTTCGCTTTCTTTTAATACAATGCCAAGAACTTCTTCTCTCGTTTACTAAAAATTATTGTATTTTAATATTCAGATGACTTGATTTCTATCTTGGTTCGTTTTGCTGGTTGGGTATCTATACAGGTGAAAAATAGAATCAATTGGAAAATGAAGCGAATTCAGCCGTTATATTGAAACTTTCAGCATATTTGTAAACCTTCAGGAACTATACCTGTCTAAAAAAGATTTCTTAAATTCACGAGAAACCAAATTAGACACATTATCTTATCTCTTTCGGATATCGTCTCGAATTTACAGATAAATTAGTTTTCTAAAGATTCATTTGGCGAATTAGTATAGGAGATTTCTATTTCTGCGCAAAGAAAAACAATGTAATGTTTATCAGAGATTTCAATAAGCATAGTGAAAAAAGTAATATAACCATCAAAAGTCGCCAAGTCTCTCGCGATTGCAGGAAAAAAATTCAACATTTCACCCCCAGAGCAGACATTTGCAGAATTCATTGAGGCCATGGAAATAATAACCATGTAAAAATGTTAATGGTGCAATTTAGAAAATTTTATTAATTTCAAGGTAATCATCTCGGCGTCTTTGCAGCTGTCCGAGGGAACATCTTATTTTTGTACTTTCTGTTTATCAAGCATAAAAGAAGCGCATACACGTTGGGCTGAGTTTGTACAAGGATTTCCTCTCTCACGAGCCAAAGTTATTGGTATCTCTTAAGCTTTTCTCCGGACCATTAAACCCTTTGTGTTATTGCAAGCAAAGTTGTCGTCCGTGATTAAGGCACTTCCTTTTCATTGCAAATGATGTGCGAACGTTTTTCAAAGTTGTTTTGGAGTAACAATCAAATCAATACTTTGGGCTGATTAGGCTGCCAATCGATATTTGCGACTGCAAAATGTTAAAAAGTAGTTTATTCCTCATGTCATGAATCTTGCCATGTAGGTGGCATGGGGTTAAATGCCACATAAAAACCCTTCAGCGATCGCATGCCGGCCGGTAATTATTTAAAAACCATACGAAAATGTTAGTTTTCTTTAAAGAACAAAAGCTGTAAGCTAAACATGTTTGAGTAATTAGGAAAACGATGAAACAGTCATACACAGTGAATGAATACAAAGGGGTTTGTCAAAGATCAAGGAGTTTCTTTAGCACGGCACGAGCCGTGTTTTTGTACATGCCTGGTAACGCTACAGGATTCTTTTTTAAGGGGGAAGTGTGGGTCTGCCTCCCGCGTGTTTCGTGGAAATATTCACGGAAGAGGAAACCGTATCAATAAATGCCTTGCCCAGAGCTATACGACCTCACAATCACGCTTGATCCCAAAAACCAAAGAAAAATTACATTAAATTCGACGCCAAGATGTCGAACTTCATCTTTCGTGCCCCACGAAAGCCTGGAGCTGATGAAAGCAAGTGCTATCGATTTAATTAACAATTAATATTTTATTAATCACGTTAATGACGATTCAGTTTCGTCTAATCACGGCCTATTTGATCAATTATTTGAAAGCCAAAATACTTCATCACAAACAAATGCTCCTTAATTAAGAGAATTACTGTGAGCGCTACATGGCAAGAGCCGCGATAGAAGCGAACCCGTCAGCGAAACGTGCTTGAAAACTCATCGTAATTACGCGCCATCGAGTTCGGAACGCGCTGAGAGCCGATAGAAGATTGCGCACTGAAAAGCGAAAAAATTATATTACGGGCGCTTAATTTGCCATGCTCTCATGTTCAATTAGCACAATTAAATATTAATATAGAGTGATTTGCTTACATGCTTTCTGATCCGGTGGTGACACCTGACATAATTTTATTAGAAAATAGCGCCACGGCGCGCTCTGATTGGACGGCCGCGGCTATAGATATTAAATCCGAGGTAATAAGCACTCTACAAAGAAGGCCGAAAGTTTGGCAGAATCGCAGAAGATTAGTAATGGAGCCATCGAACGACGCGCACGGTCCGGTCAGAGGGCCTGCCATGGATCACCGCGAAGATCATACAACAACTTCTTTGCTGGAATTAGTGCCAAGTTTGGAGCACTCGATCGTGGGAATACTCAATCACAACGGCGAGCTAAACGATCAGGATTCAGGTAGGGGCTATCTTGTTAGGGTAACAAATCGTCGAAAATTTTCTGGTCATCATTCACATTAACCCAGCTTTATAAAAAATAAATTTTCTAATGACTTGAGTGAGAGCTCGTTGTAATTTAATTCACTTTATATCTGTCTCAACAGATAGCACCAAGAACGGTTGCGTAGACGGCAAAAGCTCCCCAACCGAGCATAGGAAGATCGATACTGTTTCTATCGATGATGAAGATAGAAAAGCTAGTGATAGCCAAGGCGTCAAACAGAAGCGACATCGCACTCGCTTCACACCAGCTCAGCTCAACGAGCTTGAGAGATGCTTCGCTCGCACACACTATCCAGACGTGTTCATGCGAGAAGACCTTGCAGCGCGAATTGGTCTCACCGAGTCGAGAGTTCAGGTACAGGACTTAAATACCGGCTATTTATGATTAACTCGATATCAATGGGAGAAAAATAGCAGTTTAAGGATCTTTTGGTATAATGAAGTTTATGTAACGGTTTGTTTTGCGATGGAAAACAAAAACGCTCGCTTCGTATAAATAGCTCTTAATATTTGCCACTTTTGCTCGAAAGTCAGTCGTACAAGGTAGGCAGACTAGTTAGAGTTTAGTATCTGATTTCTGCTAAATGATAAAATCGTTTACGTCGCCACCAATTTTTTTCCGGCTATAATGATATATTTGTATACTTTTCTCCCTAATCACTTTCACACTGCGGAAAGACTTGTACAAACCTTTCACTTCAAAGAAACTGTCCCAGGACATTATGTCAGAAAACGCGCAATATTTGCGGGAAGAAATCAAATTTTATTGCTGCGAGGACGATTTATTATTTTTATCGCGAACACAACAAGACTTGCCTTTGTGGTATTAATTTGGTTTTTGTTTTGAGATACGCTTAACCGGCGGTCTTAAGCGAACGAGAAATGGCACGTTCCTTGCGGCTAAATTTACTGAAGATAACAATACTTTGTGTCATAACATATATGCGTTTAAAAGCCGTATATTTATTCTATCATCTCTTATTTTCGGGGATTTTAACCGTTGGCGTGGCAGAAGTCCTATAAAGAAGGCAGACCGCACATTTCTGAATGTACACAATGAATAGATTATTAAAAACACATTCAATAGCAATGGCCAAAATAAACCCATTGGAAATTCTAATGAAGGAAGCCTAAACGGAAAAGGTCTCTCGTGATTTTTAAAAGTTATCTGAGCTATTATGACTAAGAAGTGCAAGTGAATAATAGACACGCAGAAAGGGAAGCTATTATCTCCTAACAGTGTGTTGCAATTGTCAAGCGAAGCGTGTTTACACCAGCCAAAAATAATTGCTTTTAAGTTTTAACCAGAGTCGAGAGCCTACTTTTCTTTCTTTAGCTTTGGATCAGTTTAATTGGGAGCTCTCTCGTTCGCTGTTCTGGATACTCCATTAGAGTGCCGAAGCATGTCAAATTTCGGTTATCAAAGAATCGATATTAAACGATGGAAATTAGCTGCAGCTCGCCTCTAAACACCTGTTTCAATACATTTTGTGCTTTGATCGCAGACAGCTGAAATTCTTACTATAGTTTAGAAAATTCGTTCTAGAAATACAACGTGGTTTTCGTCTTCGATGCGCGTAGAGCGTTATCACCATCTGCGGTGAAGTCATCTTTGGTGCGATTTTGTAAATAACGCCATATCTTCAATGAACCAAGAAAATACTCCTTATAGACTGTTTAGAATATCTACGCTTGTAATACGTGAATTTGAAAAGTCACATGGAAGATATTAAATTCTCCCCTGGAGCTGATGAAGGTTTTCAAGCTCGGTTTGTGGAGTTTTAAGGTGGCTCTTGATCGCGTCGAACGAGATTTCAAGAAAGACAATGGCTTCTGAAGTGGAGCGGTCTCGTACGCTGGACCGAGCTGCTTTAGAGAAAAGCGTGATTTGAAAGACAAAGCAGCGACCGGTGTTTTTGAACATAATTAGAATAGCTATAAAGCGGGTAGGCTTGGCTCTGCAGTAATTACGTTTTTCATTTCACCATGTTCTTGGCCGCGTTCTTATAAAGGAAAGCGAAGTTAAGAAGTGGATTACCTCAAAACCGCCTTAGAATTAAACGGGGCTCGGTATCAGACCCTGTTTACTTAGAAGAAATATTTGGCATGGTTCACAATCCGCTATTCTGCTGTACATTCTACAGCAGAAAATATTGTCTTTTAATAACTTGGCAATATTAAACTACAACCAAGCAGTGCTCGTGATTCGTCAGTGGTAGGCTTTGACTAAGACAACATGCACAAGACTTTACTTCCGTTTATATTGCTTACAGTTACTGCAGCGAGTAATAAAATTAAAGATAATTATGACAAAAGTAGAGTTCGTATCGAGTTTAGTTATTCTTATTGTCGTACGTGATTGTTCCGAGAAACTAAATGATTAAGATCACAAAAGAACCAGGCTTTTGACCACAATTATGCTATTTTCGTCTCTTACTCAACGACTTATAAATCAAAAAGTCACTACATATACATTTGCACATGACATTTAACCGTTCTCTTTTAAGTGGAACAGATTTTTTCGTTTTTGGCTTTAGAAAGGAATTCCATTAATAGTGTGTCACTCTCACTCACGAGCGCCAATATGTTACGCTCTGATTAAATGGAGTCTGTGTTTGAACACCAAGCATTTTAATGTATACGTGTTATTGAGAAGAAATAGCTTCTTGTACTTATAAGGTTAGCAGATTGTTTCGAACAAATCGTAGCAAATTGAAAACATTAGCCAGCGCCACGGGTGGCAAATTTTTAGGCGTGTCAAACCGATGCTTCTTGCTATGAGAGGTAGATAAACATGGACGACCCCAGCCCCGCGAAAGAAAAAACCAAAACAATTTAACTCAAGCTTCTAAACGTTCGTGTACAACTTAAATTAATCGCAAATTGCAAGGAAATGCGACCAGAGGCATTAAATGTAACTTAAAAATCACATTTCATTTAATTCTGACGCCTGCACTTAGTTTAAGTTAAACTTCTGTTGACACAAAACTTTGCACACGAAAAATATCGTCGCGGGTTTGCGCGCTGCAGTCGTGCTATAGGGATTTGATGTATTGCGACAAGTTAGACACGCGGCGGTATTGCACACCGAGGCAATACCAAGACTTATTTACCGGGATATTTTCTGAACCATTGTACAAAACATTCTATAGCGGTCGGCACATTGGCGGCAAGGACCTGTGTTTGCTTTAGAGGCATCGATAGGTTACGCCGGGTTGATCAAAGTGTAAAATGAAAACATCAAGTCTTTTGTTTGCGTTTCCTTTTTCTAGCAATAACCGAAACTGCAAAGAGGATAAAGAGAACTTAGCCACTGTACCGTTGTCAAGGAAATGTAAGACTTTCATGGTTGTCTGCTTGTCAAATGGGCTGCTACGCTGAAGCTTGTTCAAGTCTGTTAATTCGGCTTTTGCTTTATTAACTACTGTAGGTGAAAGGGCTAGGAGCGGTATTTATCAAAGATTGGAGCTGGTGAGAAAGTAGCCGGCCTCACCAGCAAGAATGTTACTATATATTCAGTAAAGGTTATTAAACAGAAGCTTCCTTTGTCGGCAAAAGACAACTTTGATTATGGCAAATCTGTGGTAAACGAAATTCTAAAACCAATAACAAATGGGCGAGATATTAAAAGAGGTGGGAAAAGTACAGAGTGTATACTCTAGAAATACAAAGATGGAAAATAAGTACAGATTTCTTCGCCATCAAACAACCATTTACTCAAAGGGATTGTATAATACATTTAGAAAGTTATCCACCTTAACCCTGCGAAGAAAAAAAGCGTCCAAGACATGTAGAGGAACATAAACATTTTAGTGCTATATGTTGCACTTAACTGAAGTAAAAGCTGTGTTTTACTCGACCCCCAGAGGCCAGCAGAACCATATTTCGTGCTCGAAAGATAAGAGACTCATTTCTTTAGACGCTTGAACAATTACCTTAAAATGCATAAGGATACAGGAATATTGCTCTTTCCTCCTCTCTTGGCCTTACACTCTGACGAAATTTGAGCAACAGAATGCGAGAGGATAAGTTTTTATTTAGAAAATATCTAAGGGAAATTCAATATGTGTAGCATATGCTTTGGCCTACGTATGAAGACTAGCAGCCGGTGACACTTTGTTACTGAGAAACGGGTACCAGCATAAGATCACTTATCACAGCATTAATCTTTGTCAAGATCACAGCGAAATTTGCTACATTCGTTCAGAAACAAAGTTTTCTGAGAAATCTTTGATTTCCCCTATTCAAACAGCAGCTGCGAGTCTGAGAAATATGTGAAAACTTCCGAAGTGTTTTTCGTTGGCGTAGACGTGCATCTGCTCTCCTTAGTTCATCATTTCTTGCCTTGCGGTTGGGCTAAAATAGCTTTTTAAATCGATACTCAAGAATTATTTATTATAACTGAGGAAAGGCTCTGAGTTTAGTTCTGCATGTGCTTCTTTGCTCTGTTCAAACAAAAGTATCATTTTAGTTGTTAACTTGCGCTGACATTAATTTTCTTTATCGCCAAATTGGAGTCTTGTTTTATTGATAGAAAATGTTAACATTTAACATGCTTTTTCGAATTCCTCAGACGTGAGTTTTTGTTATCAAGGTAAGCAATTTTTCCTTCTAATTCAAGTATTTTGCTTTCTTATTTTTGCTGGTTAGGGCCAATACAAACTTTATCAAAATTAGCATTTTTCTTGTTTGCACACAAAACTAAACAACCACGATTTGTCGGCGAAATAAAAGTTAACTATACTTCTGTTTAAGTTATATTCAACACAGGATAGAAACACTATTTCTTAAGAAAGACGTAATGTCTGAGATTTTGTTCGTAGTTGTAAGACTCCAATATTTGTTTCGACGCTGTTTGAACATCAAAAAGCTAAACAATGTTTAGTTTGCCGTAATTCTCGAGCTTGTTAAATTTCAAGTGACTTCTCGCAAAATACGGAATAATTGTGTGTAAATCGATATAATCATTTTCCGACAAGGCCGCGACGAAGATTAATTAAAAACTTCACTCTGGTGTTTAAACAGCTTTGTAGGCACAAATTTTGGCAGCCCTGGTTTCCTCTCCTAGGCAGGACCTTCTCGGAAAAGGAAAACACCAATTTGATTTCGCTACCAGAGGTTAACTATCCACAACAATTGCTCCATATCCTGGGTATTCAAAAGGCAATTAACAATCTTAATTTCCACATAGATTGGCTCGTTTCAAAAGGCTTGGTTTTGAGTCCGTGTTTTTATTAAATTTATACTTTTTCAAAACAATTTCGCACGACAAAACAATTACACTTAAGACTGCTGTTATTGCCATAGGAAAGAGCTCCAATCGGATCTTTATACCTTAACTTTTTTTCGATATCAACTTCGCTAAGATATTTTTTATCTAGTTAACGTTGCCTTATCGACTATTTCGGCAGTTTAATCTTAATTGAAATATGTTTTCCTAATGAAATCATTTATCATCAAATCTGAATATACTAATTATTTTAAATGGAGTTCATATCATCCATTGCTTTTATGCTTTCACTTCGGTCACCAACAACTGAAACAAGCATTTACAAAAAAGAGGCAAATATTAATTGTTCTCAACTAGAAATAGTTTTGACAGTCTTCATTCGATTTAATTGGCAAGTTCTAGTTTAGCTCAGAGTAGAAAAGAAAATACTGCTTTTCAGGAAAAAATAATATTTAAACTCGTTATCTAAATTCTTATGATTAGCAAATGGGCCGAACCGACGCTTAAAGGAAGGGCCTGGCAAGAAATACTTTGAGAAATGAAAAGCAAGAAGCACTTGAACGAAAAAAATGATAGATGCCAGTAACACGCGTGTCATAAATTGATAAATTGATAAATTTATAACTACTGTGCCTACAAGTTCAAAATATGCACGTCTTAGTGGACAAAAAAGATAGACAAACAGCGCAGAGCAGAAATACGACAATTGAAAACCTGAGCTTACAGCATGTGGAGTGGAATGTTTGTTAGCCTAATAAATGGGTTTTTTTGCAAGCGTAAAGGATCTCAGTTAAGGAATGACAATCTACTACAGCAACTGATTCAGAGAGCCCATAATCTGTGTGGTGCTAGATCAGAGCAAATACCTTATCCACCTGAGCTATGAATTTGGGGAACAGACCAGTAGCAAAGCAATCCATATCTTATGTCTCAATAAATTTATATCACACCGTTATCATTACAGTACAGCCTCAGTTCTTAATTTTTGGAGTTGTTTTATAATTAGTAGAATGAATAACTTGTGACAAAAAGCTAAAGTGTACAATTAATAGGTGTAGCACGACAGAACACCGTCTGTTTCCTTCTAGATAAAACACAGCGTAAATGGAAAGCATATGAAAATTTGGCATCTTTAATCATTTCGAGATGTAGAATTACTTGTATACTAGAAACCTACATTTTGAAACGGATCTACGTTTATTGCAGTGTTTATAACTGAGCGGAGACCTTAAATGTTTCTTTCGTTAACAGGTATGGTTCCAAAATCGTCGCGCGAAATGGAAGAAACGCAAGAAGACGGCTGCTATTCTCCGTCCTCCCGCTCCGATTCTTCCGTCTCATATGGCACAGGCATACAACCCAAGCCCCATAGGAGACTCCCTGTGTACCTTCCATAACGATCACCGATGGCCCACCACAATGGGCACAGCAATGCCAACAATGGCTCCAGTCACTACTCCATCCCTACCACTCTCGCCTCCGCACCACCCATTCGCGCAGACTGGACACGAGGTTCTTCCACAATCATACTCGCACCAGGCTTCCATGCCTAGGTCACATCTCAGCATGTCCATCCAACAACAAGCCAACCCACCAGCCCAGCAAACCTTTCAACAGCCATTTGTCGGCACGAGGGAAATGCCCATTTCTTCTTCACCATCTCTGCAAGATATACAATGCAGTATTCCCAATGGTGGGGAGTTGTGGCGTGGGTCCAGTATAGCGTCGTTAAGACGAAAAGCCCTCGAACATAAGGCAGCGTTCACATATAGATAAGTAGAGGACTCAGTATCATTGCTTCAATAGTGAGACAGTTACTGTTACTATGTGGAGGCGTAACAAGGGGCAAGGACGAACAGCGGACATTTCATGACATTATTAGTTCAATATACTTACAATTAAGAAATTTTTAAATATGATAAATTAGGGCATTGCTTTCCTTCAGTTGATGCTATTAGAGGTTCACCTTGTTCATACCCCACTGAAATACGCCTATTTTGTTTTACAGAAGCTAGACTTTTCTTCATAGAATCGTTCGCTTAAGAACCGACCTGAATTAAAATTCAGAACCTCCTTGTAAATTTCTTGTTAATACTTTTGAACTAATGACACGAATATTGCAAACTCAAAAATGCTCCAGCAGAATTATATAGGATACTTTATCAAAACTTCAGATACATCTTTATACATAAAACTTGTTAACTCGGTACTGCATACTAGTATTAAAAACATTGGACATCGTAATTCACATTTACTTCTTTGATATATGTCAGGTTTGTGTCAGAATTCGGACAAAGCAAGAGTATTGGTCAACAATGTCAAAACTATTCTCAAAAGTTACAATCTTTGACTGCAAAACGCAAAGAAGTCAAAATACAACAACAACATTCTAGTTCAAGACTCCACAAGATTTGTTCCTGTATAATCAGCAGGCTTAAACAAACGCGAAAGATTGTAATTTCAAACCAAGCTGAAGTCACAGAAAGTTTGACGCCTATCAATCATAAAAAGTCATTCGCAGTGAAAATGAGCGTAAATATTTGATGCTAGTTTGTAAATCACGTCATGCTAGACAAAACAGATACTTAAAAACGAGCAGAAAATGTTGGATTGGAAATTAGAAGAGACTAATCGGTCGGAAATACGAGCTTAGAGTGTATATGGTGATCACATCAATGTTATGAATTCAACAATGCTAACATGCTTAGTTGAACATTCCTTTTCTACTTAAGGAAGAGAAACAAAAATCCCATGACCGTCTATTGATGTTTTTTTTTTCGCATTATAGAAAGCAAAATTCAGTCAAACTCCAAGCACCAGTTCACAATATTTTTTTTTTGAAAAGAAATGATGCTCATGTTGAATTTTCATTGTCAAGTTAAGACTCAAATGTATTTGTTTTTTTCTCACAACCTTGTACATGACAATTATTCGAAAAAATATCATGTCGTTTGTAACCAGTTGTTTCACACTTAAAGTTGTGCAAACTGGGAGATGATTAATGTTCAAAACTCTGTATATATTGAAGAACTAGTCTTGTACACAACTAAGATCCAGACGTAATTTTCAGGTAAAAGCAATTTACTGAACAAATCTCCACATGTTTAAGCTCAAATGAAGCTCCTCACTCCAACAGGAGGGCACTCGAAGAAATTTTCATTCCTAACCAATCGAATGCTAAAACACTTTCTCTTTCTAAACGACTCCCTTCAAGGCATTGATTTATTTACTTAATGCAAGTTTTTTCAGCTGAACTCAGCTTACTAACGTAGATAATCAGATGTCAAGAGATAACGTATCAATTGATTTATTATTCAAAAAGGGAGATTCTAAGCTTCTATTTAAACGTTACATTCTGACGAACCGAAAATAAGCTTGTGAAGAACTAAGTTTTAGAATCAAAGCGGCACATTAACAATCACACAAATCTGTCATACATTATGTTATCGCTTTTCTTATCTACTTAATCAATGATTACAAGTAATGCTCTCCTTCAAATACAGAAACAGCTTCGATTGATCGATACCTTATCAAATGTCCAGATGGAGTTAAAACGCTCTCATAATCTATGAAAATAGTACGTGTAAATTGTTAATATTCACCAGAACCACCGAGAAAACATCATAGAAAGACGTCCTTGTTGTGGTTTTAAACCAGGAATACATCCATGATTTTAAAACTGAAGTCACCGAAAGAACCGCTGGAAGATTCCCTTTACCCGTTGGGCAGAATTGTTGGCAAGTTTTAAGGTTTATCTCACAAGTCCTTAAAGCTTTCGGATTCTATTCATCATCTGGCAAAGCTCATAAATTTAATCAAAATCGAAGCGTTCTTGAAGGACAGCATTACGTTTAACGCTTTCCATAACAACAGTTCACAGTTAATCGCACAAATTTTTCAAACGCATGGAGACGACGACAAAAGGAACATATTCCTGCAACTAGGTAACCAGAATAATAAAAATAATAATAAAGTAGCCAGAGAGTCATTAGGACTGGCGCATCACAATGGATTATTTAATTGCTATTTAAGATAGTATTTATGTTCTTTTTATTGTAAACCTGCATGTGATCTGATCACAGCGAGCAGTTATTTTGGGGCGCCCTCGCCTCGGGCTATGCTTTGATTGACGACCTAGCGGTTCGCCAAAGACTGAAAGCTTAGCAATAGAAATGGTCAATCCAGCGTGTAATTACTAAACGAAGTCCAGTTTTAAATAAAGCTTTATGACCTGATGGTTACTGGCTTTGTCTAATGGCTTAATGTCAATCCCAAGAGATTTTTCCAGATTCTGTCAAGCTTGCTGAACGACACTGAACAAACTCTAAGCATTGCGGGAATAATTCTTGCAACTTAAACTATGGTCTTGCTCTTAAATTGCCGCTTCAGACGATTTTCCTTCAGGGCGAAATACCTTGACCTGGTTAACGCATATTAGAGCAGTTCACGAGAACAACAAATGCCCTCATTTCCTTATGTCTAACCAGACCGCGAATTTTGCATAGGAGTTGTCAATGATAAAGGACTTATTGGATAAAACCATTGTGATTATGCATGCGCTCTTTATAACCTGGAAGTTTCTCTTTGACGAAATATCGTGGTTTTCATTTCAAGGCCTCCCTGTCTGCGTCAGCGGGTTGGTTTTAAAGCCAATCTAACTAGACACGAGGATATCACAAGACCAGGCAATATCCGATTTTTCAAAGCAGCTTTATGAACCGCGCTCCGCACTGATTGTGATTCAAAAAGCTTGTTTATTTTTAAAATCTCTTCACCCAAACAAAATCCTCGAGCCCAAAGTTCAAACCTTCAATCAAAACATAACCCTAATGATATAACTATTTGAAAGAAGATGAAGATTTAAGACCACGTTTTTTTATTGGTATTTTTTTAATAAAAATAGCGGCACGTTCAACAGAATATTCACCGGTACTATGTATCGCTGGATTGTCAACGGAATGAACTCTTTGCCGAGAATCTTAATTAAATTTGATTTTAATTTCCTTCAGCTTTGAGGCCGCTACTATAGATACTCCCTTTTTCTTTAAAATATCTGTTAATGAAAAAGGCACGGCGCACAAAAGGTGAACACAATAGTTAGATTTTCCAATTTACTGGAAAATGAAATTGCGTTTTCGCGTTTGTTATAACGAAAGCGCGTTCAATTTTAAAGCAAATGTTATGAATAAAAAAAAACGCAGGCCGGGAAAACTGATTGAAAAGGTCGCTTATCAGTATCACATGCAATTATTTCATGTCTTTCCATAAGATTTGAAGATTTTGAAGCAATTTCAAAAAGAGTTCATTAATACAGCAGCCATCCCGTCGGAAATTGATTCAACAAAAGCCGAAAGCTCATCTGTACAATTGTCAAATTATTAATTGATGGGACACTTTGGGAGCGGAATCGCCAAGGTTACGTTTTCTCTTCACGAAAAATTGCAATCCATTTCTCAGAACTTGCTTTACTTTCCACACGTGTTACGCTTGCTGTAAGCATGCGCAGTTGACATGACGACCGTGTTACCTCGAAACCGTTAACTTTACTTAGCGATTTCAATTCTATTGCCATCACGGGATTACCAAGTCGTGCAATTAATAACCACTAATTACACACATTAGGCTAAATTTAAGCTAATTTCGAGACATCCGCACAAGAGAGAAACCTGATTCCCCACAACAGCCATCCAAATCATCGAATGATGGGAATAGGTGAAGGTTGTAATTCATAGTTTTCATTGAATACGTGGATATTCCTTTATGCTGTGTTTGCCGAATAGTTATTTCGTCCAATATCCTGCCATAGTGTGTTTATAGACCTGTGATTAAAGTAAATCACTTAAACAGCAAACATCACACGCAAGCTTAGCTCAAGTGCTCAATTATTCGTCGTCTCCCTCGATAACCAATATCGTTTTTAAACCGCACTTGAAAACGTTGCGTGTGAGGCAGAAAATATTAAGTTTGTTCAGAATTCAAGGCGCAACTCACCGACCGGCGAAGATTTTGCAATAGATCATTCGTCAAAATATCTACAAAACTTATTCTAAACAAG